AGACATGAGCTAAGGGTAGGAAGGTAATGGAGATCGGAAGACTTGAGCATGTTTATAGCTGTTGGGGTGCAAACTGTTGAGAGAAAAATACAAGTGTTTATGAGATAACTGAAATAATGTGGCTTATGAGCAGATGGCTGGACATAGTATCAAGGAAGTAAGGAAGGTCCTAGAGAGGAAAAACTAATGGGTATCAAGGTAAGAAAACATGTTGAGAAATATGTAGCAGGAATGGGAACTTACAATTGAGAGGAATCGAAGATGGCGGCTCAGCCGCGGCGGCATCGCTCGCCTTGTGCAACGCCGCCCCAGGGTGACTTTTGTGATGGCACTGAGAGGGCGATTGACGAAGCTTCTTTTACGACCTCCATGGAGTGGGATACACAGGTGGTGAAGGGGTCCTCGCCGCTCGGCCCCGCAGGGCTGGGGGCTGAGGAGCCGGCCGCCGTCTCGCAGCTGCCGTCTTGGCTGCAGCCTGAGAGGTGCGCTGTTTTCCAGTGCGCACAGTGCCACGCCGTGCTCGCCGACTCGGTGCACCTCGCCTGGTACCTGTCGCGGTCCCTTGGGGCCGTGGTCTTCTCCAGAGTTACAAATAACGTCGTTTTGGAAGCGCCCTTCCTAGTTGGCATTGAAGGTTCACTCAAAGGCAGTACTTACAACCTTTTATTCTGTGGTTCCTGTGGGATTCCCATTGGTTTCCATCTGTATTCTACCCATGCTGCCCTGGCTGCCTTGAGAGGTCACTTCTGCCTTTCCAGTGACAAAATGGTGTGCTGAAAGAGAAGATAGTGCTAACGCACACTCGCTTAAAATCACTAATGAAGATTCTGAGTGAAGTGACTCCTGACCAGTCCAAGCCAGAAAACTGATCTTGTACAAAAGCTTGAGTGTCAGGTTCAGGCTTTATTGCTGTCTTCAACAACAAGTGCTGTTTAGTCATTTCTCAAAAAGACTGGCTTTGGGAAATGCAGTTTCTATCTACCGTTAGGCTGATTGTCCAAATGATTTGTGAAGCTGTTTTTAGAAGATGAGAAACTAAGGATTCTTCTGTTTTATAGCTATTTGCCTTAAGAACTTAGATTCTGATTGAATTCATAATACTTATTTCTGAAGATGTCTTTGACTGTAAATTTAGGAATTAAGATGCAAAGTCCCATGTGTCCTCTGATCTAAAGTTGCATGGTTGGTCTGAAAATAGAGTTGGGCTTAATGTTGAGTTCTAGTACTCCTGAATGGAGCAGTTGTTATGAATATTAATAAATCATTTTTTAACTTATGTAAAATACAGATCATAATATTCTATAGGTAATGTTTAATAAACTGCCTGAATAATAAAAAAAAAAAAAAAAGAGGAATCAAACCCACTGGCCTTGAATTTCTAGGTGAAGGAGAGATGATGTCTTAATAATGAGGAGGTAGAAATGGGCATTGAGTAAAAGGGCTTAAGGAAACTGGTAAAGGTTTGGAATACTGAGGGGAAAGGAAAGAGATGGTGGAAGGCCGTGGAAGCATGAGTCAGCAGTACTGAGCACTCAGTGGTGCTTGGAGACCACAACTGTAGTGGTAACAGTCTGTATTTTTTTATCCAGCAATACTCAGCTCCCTGTGTGTAGAAGTAGAGAAGGTAGACTGTAGTTATTTTTCCAAGGCTGGCATTTTACTGGGTAGATACTGCTGAAGGAAATACAGGGTGCAGATAGTTCAACTGGTCAATAATCCATGATCCAGGTTGGATAGGTAAAGAAGGGGTTAGGAGGGGATGCCTAGGTAGGTCAAAATGAAGGAATCACAGGACTGGAGAAGTCAGAAGTAGAAAAGCAGATTGCTAGGAGAGGGAGGGTGAGAGATTTTGGTCAGAAAATGGGGTATTGGAGTTTAAAGTATCAAATGCAGAATAGTTCCAGATGTTCAGAGATCTGGCATGGGATTAGGTACTAAAATGGTTTAGAACTAAAGGTCACTAGAATTTAGAAATTGAGAACCATGAGAGTAGATGCAGTGACTTGCTGCTTGATTGAAAAATAATAATAATAAAGGACCGTGAGACTAGCCTGTTATAGGGTTTATCTGCATGAACATTCAATTTTCCCAGGATCATAGCAGGAGTTGGGTAGAGAAAAAGATTATGAGAAGGTGCCAGAGTCTTCAGTGAATGTCAGGAAATTACCAGGAAGTCAGCATATGACAGAGAAACGGACAGTATGTTATCTGCATCAAAGGAAAATGTGCTTTTGTTGAAAAGTACAGAAAAAGCCAATACTACAAAACTATGCTAAGCCCCTACCTGTACTCCCCAGCCAACAGCTGCCTTCCGGACCCTGTGGTATAAAAGGTGTGAGAATGAGCATCTCCCACCAGAAATCAGACAGGTTTAGTTAAGGCAGTGAGGCAGAACAAGCATCCTATGAAGAGACTGAGGATGTAGGTGAGTGGTTCTAAAATCTCAGTAGAAGGAACATTGCAAGTACAAAGAGCCAGCAGTGAGGATGCACAGAGCAGTCTAGAAGTAGAGGTGAGACCAGCTAGGAGATGAAATGAGGAGATGTCTTCTGTTCTGTGCTGGAGAAGTACTGGTAAGTGTGGTGTGTTTGGGATTCACTGGCCTCAGCCATCCTTACTTTGGTACAAGTTATTTTGGTACAGAACCACTAGAATGTCCCAAAGGCTGTAGTACAGGAACATTCCTGAAAGGACAAAAGCTGCCATGAATTTTGAGAAGTTGTATGGTGGCAGGTACAGCCAGGGTGTGAGCAAGACTGCTGGATGGTGTGTGGGTAGATAGTGAAGGCCCAGATTTGGGAACAGATTGGACCTCAGATATCCAGAGCAGCACTGTAGAATCTAGTTGCATATAATGATGTTTTTAAAAGGGTATCCTAGGCTGGGCACGGTAGCTCACGCCTGTAGGCCCAGGCCTTTGGGAGGCCAAGGCGGCAGATCACTGAAGCCCAGGAGTTCAAGACCAGCCTGGGCTACATGGCAAAACCCCATCTCTATAAAAAAATTAAAAATAAAAGTAAAATAAAATAGTGGGCGTGGTGGCATGTACCTGTAGTCCCAGCTACTCAGGAGACTGAGGAAGGTGGATTGCTTGAGCCTGGGGAAGTCAAGGCTGCAGTGAGCCATGATCATGCCACTACACTCCAGCCTGAGTGACAGAGTGAGACCTTGTCGCAAAAAAAAAAAAAAGCCAAACAAACAAAAAAAGCAGGGCTACCTTACTCTGGAAGAAACACATGTAGCATTGGCTGAATAAAGAAATGAAGCTTCATGATGAAGGACATTTGGAATCAGTGCAATAAACTTTTTGTCTTGTAGCTATAACAAGAATGCATGGCTTTGAAAATCACTGCAGCAGTATATATTTAGCATCTGGTTGCTGAATAGCAGTCTCTTGTGACTGAGGATGATTTTCCATGGTTCCTTTTTGTATTCTGAAATGACTAATGGAACCATCTGGGATCAGCAGATTTTAACTCCCTGAAGGCTGGAAAAGACTTACTTGGCTTTATAATTCCCCACAAAGTCAGGCCCGGCGCTTTGCACTTAAGTGTTTATTGAATAAAAGAGTGACTTGTGTGGAAGTTATTCATTCTGCTTTAGCTGTTTTTGTCATTCATTCCCTTTTAACTCCTATATGGTAGTTTGTTGTGACTTTAACTTTCTTATGCTTTTTTTGTGGAGCTGCTCAATAAATATTTGACATAGGTATTATGCCGTTTTATGGCTCATCCAGTGTCACATAGCTGGTGAGTGGCAGAGCCAAAGCTCAAAATCAATTTCAGTGGATTCTGAAGGTCAGATGCTTTGCGGTACACTAGAATTAGTACCAGTATAAGAGGCATAGGGGTGATCCTGTTTCCTGAGCATAAAGCTTTATTTAGCCCTGTGGTCCTACCCACTCATGCAAGGATGCTTCTTTCTCATCTGACATGAGAGCCCAGATGACTTGAGAGATCAACAGTGTCTCCTCAACGCTGCCCTGCCCAGCGTTCCTGCAGCCCACTCTCTACAGGCAGACAGTGTCAGCGGAACGTTGTTCCTGGAGTATTCTTCATTTTAGTTGCTTTACCCTTGCTTCATATATTTGTGTGTCTCACATTTTAGATTGCGTTCAAATATCTGTGAAGCACTTTTTAAAAAAAAAAAATTGTGGTAAAATATACATAAAATTCATCATTTTAAACTTTTTTTAAACTATGATTCTGAATTTAGAATACTTCTGATGTATAAAATGCTATGTAAAATATGATTTTGCTGTTGGCTTCTGTATTAGTTTTTCACTGCTATATAACAAATTCCTATAAACTTAGCAGTTTAAAACAGCGTACCTTTGTTATCTCACAGTTTCTATGGATCAGGAGTCCAGCCACAGCTTAATTGGGTCCTCTGCTCAGGGTCTTATTGGGCTACAGGCCAGTTGTTGACTGGGCCTGTGGTCTTTATCAGAAGCTTAACTGGGAAAGATCCACTTCCAGGTTTCCGCTGTTGGCAGAATTCATTTCCTCCAAGCTGTAGGACTGAGGTGCCCATTTTCTTGCTGGCTGTCAGCGAGGGACCACATTTAGCTTCTAGGATCTGCCTGTAGTTGGTCCCTTGCCATGTAGTTCTGTCCATGAGCCTTCTCATAACATGGCAGCTTAGTTCTTTAAAGCCAGCAAGGGAGAGTTTCTGACTCTCAGGGAAGGCCTGGACCCCCTTTAAAAATCTACCTGATTAAGTTAAGGCCACCCAGGATGGTTTCCTTTCTGAATAACTCAAAATCAACTGATTTGGGACCTTAATTACTTCTGTAGAAACCCCTTCACTTTTGTCTTATAATCTAATCATGGGAGTGATATCTTGGCATATTCTGTTGGTTGAAAGCAAGTCTCGTAGGTCCCACTTATGCTCAAAGGGAGTGATTACACTCCCCTTGGTGAGAATATGGAGTCTGAAAACAGGGCAGGGGGCGTCTTAGAGTCTGTGTGCTACGGTTTCCTTTTTTATCCATTTCATAGGGTTTTTTATCAGCAATTGGACACCCTTTCCCCAAAATGATTTTTAATCATGGAAGGAAAAAGAGAACTTGGAATTACCTTGAATTTGAAGAAGAAGAAGATAAACAGTTAGCAGACTCAATGGCTTCTCTGGCATATCTAGTATTTGTACAGGGCATCCGTATTGATCAGCTTCCAATGGTCTTAAGGTAAGAGTTAGTGTTTGGTTTATTCATGTATTCCAAAAGGAGTTTCATAAAATTCTCATCTATCTAATGTCCAATATATGCATATTAACACACTAATACATTTTAAATAAATAATAAAGGCTATTTTTAATAAGAATGGTCCCAGCTATAATCTGTTAAAGATAGCAGTAGACAAGTAATGAAAGTGGGGGTGTTGAAATAGGTGTAAGGGAATGGTGGGGACAAGAATCAGAAGATGATAAACTGGGCTTGGTTTTGAAGCTTTTGAGACCACCCTGGAACTAGCCAGGTACCCAGGGGTATCATCATCTTTTCACTGGATTACTGCTGTAATCCTAAGTGGATATTAATATATCCACTTCGACTGCCTTTTAATTTAACACATTCTCAACATACCAGAAAGTGAAGCCTTAAAAGAAGTCCCTTACTGAAAACCCTCCAGTGGCTTCGTATTGCTTTAAGAATAATGTCTTAATCCCTTTGCATAACTTCTGAGACAAACTTATGCTTGGTCTGTTCCCTGCTTGATTGACCTGATTCATCTCCTACCACCTTTCCTCTTGTTTGCTATGCGCCAGTGACACAGACCTTCTTTTGTTTCTTGTTTAAATGTTATGCGTTTTCCAGCTATTTGGCCTTTGTATATGCTTAAAATTATCTTTATCCTTAAATGTCACTTTCTGAGCAAAGCCTTCACTCACCACCCAATTTAGGTTGAATCCTTCCATTATAATTACCTTGACCTTGTCTTCTTTTCCCACAATGTTCATTAAAATTATTTTTAAAATATATAATTTTATAATGTAATATCTTCTGGACTTTGAGTTCTGTGATAATAAGGATTGTGTTTTTGTCTCTAAGCATTGGGTGTTTGTGTGAGTTTGTATATTTATGAATATACCTAGGAGTATATTTGTATGTAAATGTTGCGATAATGGCTATCATTTGCATGTGCACCATGTGTGAAACATTATGCTAATAACTTTATATGCATTATCTCATCCTTATAATAAGCCTGTGAAATAGAGCATTCTTTCATTTTACAGATGAAAATAACAGGCTTAGACAGGTTAATATACCACCGAAGATCTAACTACTTTGTGGCATAAGGTGGGATTCAGACAGCTCTGTCTGACCCCAGAGCCTGTACTCTTAAGCATCACAGTCTATCACCAAAGTAACTTATACAGCATATGTGTATTGATTTGCTAGGGCTCCTGTAAAAAAGTGCTACCAACTGGATGGTTAAAATAACAGAAATAGTTTGTCTCATAGTTCTGGAGGCTCCTTCTGAGGGTTGTGAAGGAGAATCTTCTCCATGCCTCTCCCCTGGCTTCTGGTGATTTGCTTGCAATCTTTGATGGTCTTTGGCTTGTAGATGCATTATCCTGTTCTCTGCCTTCATGTTCATATGCTGTTCTCCCTGTGTGCTTGTGTCTGTCTCCAGACTTTCCTTTTTTATAAGGACAACAGTCATATTGGATTAGGGCCCACCCTAATAATCTCACTTTAAATTGATTCCCACCATAAAAACCCCTATCTCCAAATAAGGTCAGATTCTGAGGTACTGGAGGTATGGACTCTAACATATGTTTTTTGGGGGAGATACAATCCAACCCATAACAGTATGTATGTGCGTACATCTCTGTGTGTGTATTATATATATATTTGTTTTGTTTCTATTTTAGCCCATTGTACCTTTTGCAGTTTAATATGGGGCATATTGAAGTCTTTTTGCAAAGGTAAGATCATTTAGATGGTATCTCAAAATGAAATAGTGTTAAAATAGTCCTTGTTAAGATCAGCAGAGACTGCCTTCTCTTTGCTAGGCTCTAATTAATTAATTGGTTATTTTATAGAACAGCTTGGCAAATAATTCACGAGAGAGACAGAAATGAGTCAAAGAGGTTTTACACCAAAGTCTCTTTTATTTTAAACCTAAGACAGTATTAAGATTTTGTCTTAAGGGCTTTTCCAGTCATCTCTTTCTAAGGTTTCTTCCCTTATTCCAAAAGTTGGTAATTAAAACACCCCTACCCTACTGCATCCTCCTCCATCCTAAGGAAGGGCAGTCAATAAAAGACATTCATCCGTATTTTTCCTTCATGGACACAGTCTGTGAATTGCATCAAAAGGAAGGAGGTGTCTTGACTTCCACTTTTTATAATTGAGATTATTGACAGTGATATCATTTAATTACAACTTTTCTCGTTTGAGGTGCTAAGCAACAGGACTTTCTATTTAAAAAAAAAAAAAAAAAGGCCAGGCATGGTGGCTCACGACTGTAATCCCAGCACCTTGGGAGACCAAGGCAAGAGGATTGCTTTACCCCAGGAGTTCGAGGCCAGTCTCTCTCTCTACAAAAAATCTGAAAAATTAGCCAGGTGTGGTGGCGCATGCCCGTTGTCCCAGCTACTTGGGAGGCTGAGGTGAAAGAATTGCCTGTACCGGGGAGGTCTAGGCTTCAGTGAGCAGAGATCACACCACTGCAGTCCAGCCTGGGCAACAGAATAAGACCCTGTCTCAAAAGAGAAAAAAAAGGAAATTACAGAGTAACAAGTATACATAATTTCTAGACAGAAATTAAAGAATTTCGCAAAACTGTATGCTTTGTTTTCTTTCACTATAACATGTAACATGTGTAAATTATCCCCTGAGATCAGTTAGGGCTTTGCAATTATCCTCCTGGAACACTAGTGACAGTTTATCAATCCCATCTCTTACCAGGTGAAGGAAGATTTGTAACATGGCAATGTGCAAATCTTCAGCATACAAGGCAGGAATTTCCAAGGGTCTCCTGGCACAAGTAGTTACTAACTCTGTAAATTTGCTGTATTTTGTATGTGTTAATGATTTTATATTCATTACATTTAGTTTCTGTTATTCATACAGTGATAGTATGTATTGTTTTGAATCTAAGTCCTATATTCTTGAGATTTCCAAACTGCATAGTCATTGAATCTTTTTTTGAATAAAAAGAATTGGAAAGATTTTACAGAACAATCAACTGGAATATATAGCATTGGTTATATCAGGTATAGTTAGTGGAGATCTATTGTTTTGAAGTTAGGAAATAATCCCTGAATAGATTTATTTTGGTCAGATTTAGCGGTCTTAGCCAAACCAAAAGACAGATCAAAGATGGATTAAAACTTTTGATCAAGTTCTTCAACAGAATTTCTCCTTAATGATATGCGTTTTAAAAGTGTTAAAATTTCAAGTTTTGCTGTATTTTTCATCAGATGAAGTATCCTTCTAAAATAGTTTACAAATTCATGATAAATTGTAATATTATTTTTCAGAACAGAAGAGTCTGTTATCTCCAAAGGATTGGTAAGATGTTTGTTCCCATTATAACTTAAATACATAGTCTTGTCAACAAATAACAGCTGTTGACTTCACTATATATGTATCTGCATATATTTTAATCTGTAGGAGCTGCTGGAGAATAGTTTATTGAGAATAGAAGACAGTAGTCTACTTTACCAGTACTTAGAAATCAAGAGTTTTCTTACAGTACCTCAGGTAAATAAAATATGTATTCTAATATTGAAAATAGCCCTTTGCCTGTTCTGAACTTAAAGTAAGGTCTTTTCTGATTCCTTTCCCACTCTCTTCTCTGCAACCTTTGAAAACTCTGGTGTAATGCTGTCCAGTAGAACTTTGACAATATGAAAGCCACTAACCAAATTGAACACTTGAAATGTGACTAAGGAACTAAGTTGTTTTGTGTGTGTGTGTTATTTTTTTTTTTTGAGACGGAATCTCGCTCTGTCACCCAGGCTGGAGTGCGGTGGCACTATCTCGGCTCACTGCAACCTCCACCTCCCGGGTTCACACCATTCTCCTGCCTCAGCCTCCCGAGTAGCTGGGACTACAGGCGCCCGCCACCACACCCGGCTAATATTTTTGTATTTATAGTAGAGATTGAGTTTCACCGTGTTAGCCAGGATGGTCTCGATCTCCTGACCTTGTGATCCGCCCGCCTCCCAAAGTGCTGGGATTATAGGCGTGAGCCACTGCGCCCAGCTGGAACTGAGTTTTAAATTTAAATTTTAATTTGTTTAAACATGGATAGCTATTAGAGGCCACCATTATAGATAGCACAGCGTCCAGTAGAAAAGCATAACTTTCTTCTTTCAGTACTTTATTTCTGTAGGGATCTTGGAAAATGAAGCTCCTTTATGTTTCTCATAACTCAAGTTCTCAGGACTCCATCCAAGGCATCCACTGACTCATTACCATAAAGACTAATATACATTTTGTTTTTCCCTCCTATGGTTTATTTTGCCCAGTACTCTTTGTTATGATATCCAAGGACATCCTTAGATTTCAGCGTGGGAACTGGTTTTCCTGATATTTAAATAGAAAAACATGGTTTTTGTTAACATATTGTTTGATTGTTTTTAATTAATAAATTATATTTCTGTGGGTTTGATTTCATTTTCTTGCCACTGTAGACATAATTGAAAATTATCATTTGCTTTTAAAAGTACGCTTTGTGACACTCTACTCAATATCACTTAAAAAATCAATTGTAGTTAGCTTTCTGGAATGAAAGGCTTAGGGAAAAATTAATTTACTTCACTTTTAAATCTGCTACCCTCACTTCTCTGAATTTTTAGTAACCTATTGATGTATTGTAGTTGTTTGTTTGCAGTCAGTATAATCTGTTTACATCTGAATTTTACATTTTTTTATTTCCAGGGCTTAGTGAAAGTAATGACACTTTGCCCCATTGAGACACTGGTACGTAAATGTTTGGAGACTAAAGAATAATGAGTTACAATGAGAAAATTTGACAAATAATTTAATCTTCTCTTTAAAATTTTTAATTTGTAAAATTTTTATATATTTAGGAGGTACAAGTGTGGATTTATTACATGCATGAAATGGATAGTGATGAAGTCTGGGCAATCTTTATTCATTTGATATAATAATATTGTTTGTTCCATTTTAGAGGAAAAAGAGTTTAGCTATGCTTCAGCTGTATATTAACAAGTTGGATTCACAAGGCAAATATACATTATTTAGGTATGTATCAAGCATGGCTAATTGCTAAGTGTGTGGTTGATTAAAAATGATGTTAATGCCATGTAATTGTTTTAGGGCGTAGTGTGTCGGTATGTTTTACATGTAATTCAACTCTGGTTGGAAGCCATATTATACATTCTCAGTGATGGCTAGAGAAAGGGTTAATCAAATATTTCAGATACATACTATATATGTCTATATTTTGTATGACTAATAGTATATATTGCAGTTCAATCAATTGGAATACTCTGAATTTGAAATAGACCTGAAAATAATTAAACTGGGATGATGCTCCTGCTAGAACTTTATGTATGTCACTAATCTCCATTACTCACAGTTGAAATTGATGGCTTTGGAATTACAACTTTGAAAGGCTATGCACTATGTTAATAGTAAGAGCTTACTAATAGTGCTCTTTGAGGTGGATAAGATTCTAGCAACTCTCTAAAGATTGGTACACTTGCTAATTTTCTGTGAAGAGCCAAATGGTAAATATAGGTTTTATGGGCTATGCAGTCTCTGTTGCAGCTGCTCAATGTTAACTTCGTATTGGGGATGGGTGTGTTCCAGTAAAACTTTATTGATAAAATTGGGCAGCAGGCTGGATTTGCTAAAATGTCTTACTTGGGATTGGCCAGTATTAGCACTGTTGTTTTTGTGGGGGTGCAGCAGTATGATCATGGCTCACTGCAGCCTTGACCCTTGACCTCCCAGCTTCAGGTGATCCTCCCACCTCAGCCTCCCAGGTAGCTGGGACTACAGGTGCATGCCGTCATGCCCAACTAATTTTTTTGTGGAGACAAGATTTTTCCATATTACCCAGGCTGGTCTCAAACTCCTGGGCTCAAGCAATTCACACCTACCTCAGCCTCTCAAAGTGTTGAGATGACATGCATGAGCCACCATGCCCAGCCAACACTCTTGATCCTATCTTTTCTTGTTGTTCTATTGACAGTAAGAGCAAGTTTATGAAATCTCAATTCTTAGGTATTATACTAGCTTTCCTATTCTATTCTATCTGTAGCTCTACCAATAAATCCCCTTTTTTTCTTAAGCTAGTCTTACCTAGTTTTTTTGTTTGTTTGTTTGTTTGTTTTTGGTTTTTTTTTGTTTTTGCAATTAAGCTACTCTAGCACTAGACTACTTTCACAGGAAAGAATTTGGGGATTTTTTAGACTATTATGTTAGTGTCCTTTCTTGCCATGTTAAATTATTGTAACTATGGGCATAAAAATATTCAAATTTGGTTTGATAGAAATGGCTTGTTGGAAGATCCAGTTATAAATAAGAATTTATGGGCCAGGTGCGGTGGCTCATACCTGTAATCCCGGGACTTTGGGAGGCTGAGGCGGGCGGATCACGAGGTCAGGAGTTTGAGACAAGCCTGGCCAACGTGGTGAAACCCCGTTCTACTAAAAATATAAAAAATTAGCCAGACATGGTGACTGGCACCTGAAATCTCAGCTACTCGGGAGGCTGAGGCAGGAGAATCACTTGAACCGGGAGGCAGGGGTTATAGTGAGCCGAAATCGTGCCATTGCACTCCAGCCTAGGCAACAGGGTGAGACTCTGTCTAAAAAAAATAAAAATAAAAAAATAAGTTACCATTTAGTGAGAACAATAACTATTACAGGTGGCTTCGTAATTGGTTGATCACCTTGCTAATTACCACTACTGTGGGGTTTTTATTCCTGGAAGTAACACATGGCCTCTTTGAATTTGTAAGACTTTTATCACCATTTAATTCTAATGCCATCCAGGATAATTTCACATGTATTGTAATTTTTGCTTTCAAGGTGCTTATTGAATACAAGTAATCACTCTGGTGTGGAGGCTTTTATTATTCAAAATATCAAAAATCAAATTGACATGTCATTAAAGGTAAGAACATAGCCAAAGTGTCAATTGCCAATTTATTTTGTAGGGTATATTTATTCATATGTAGAATACATTTAATGTGAGTTATTGCTCTATCTCTAGTATTAATTACTATTACTTAAATATTAAGGCATATTTTTTTCCCCTATTTCTACTATGTTTTAAAAACTCTGAATTTGGAAATTTTGTTAACTGTAAGTTTAAATTGTATTCTTTGAGCTTTTTTTTTTTTTTTTTTGATACAGGGTTTCACTCCTGTCACCCAGGTTGGGTGCAGTGGCACGATCTCGGCTCACTGCAACCTCCACCTCCTGGGCTCAAGCAGTCCTCCCAAATCAGCCTCCCGAGTAATTGGGACTGCAGGTGCTCACCACTGCACCTGGCTGAATTTTGACTTTGTAGAGATGGAGTTTCACCGTGTTGCCCAGGCTTGTCTTGAACTCCTGAGCTCAAGTGATCCACCTGCCTTGGCCTCCCAAAATGCTGGGATTACAGGTGTGAGTCATCACTCTGGGCCTCTTTTAGCTGATATTGTGGCTTCTTTTTGTTTTGTTATATGCTTCTGAAAAATGAATGGAAACTTAAGTCTCTTCTGTTTGTGAGTACTCAGTAATTCTACATGGAAAACAGAGTGACCAGTGTTCTCAAACTGGCAGGGTTTGTTCCTGGTGTCTGGGAAGTGAATGAAAGTATGGAAATTAAAGTTAAAAAATATATTTTAAATGTGCAATTCTTTATTTTCGTAGTGTCAAGGTATTAGAAAAACACATGAATTATCAAGCTATTATTTAGAGCCTTTCTCAATTTTTCGTTGTTTTTCAGAGAACACATAACAACAAATGGTTTACAGGACCACAGTTGGTTTCCCTTCTTGATTTGGTACTTTTTCTTCCAGAGGGTGCGGAAACAGATTTACTGCAAAACTCAGATAGGTGAGGTGACCATTACTGAAGTTCACATAGTGAATTCAGAATAAAATGGGAAACATCTGCTTAGGGAACCTAAAGTAATAAAATGTCTTTTCCTGTGATTTTATGATTTATGGCTAATTCATTAAGTTACATAAAGATTTTTCATATATAAGTGATTTGATAATGTGTAGAAACAAAATAAAAAGCTCCTCTTTCTAGGTGAATGACCAACACCAGGATTTAATAGCTTTTATGTACCCAGCATTCCACAGAAATTTGCAATGACAGCATTTGTGACTTAAAACTAAAAATCTGTGTATGTATGTAATTTATGTGTTTAGATTTTGTTGTTTTATTGTTTTCCAGGTCATTTTTTTTTTCATATAGAACATATAATTTCAGTTTCAGTATACTGGAATGGATATTGAGAAATGGTTAAAAGCATTTAAAAAGGAATCTTAAAATTCAGAAAGCAAGAGATGATGCTCTCAAATACTAAAGATAACACTTTTTTAAAACAAGGATAATAATTTTCACAATTGTATGATTTGAACTTGAATGGAAAACAAGAGTGATAAGTTATTACTACTCAAAAAGATATTAATGGAAATAGTTTCTATTGGCAAACCTAATTATAAAAATATGCCCAAAGTTTTAGCTTATTAATTGAGATTTCTGTTGACTATATAAAACCATACTGTAAGTAACATGTATTTTCAATTAACAGGATTATGGCTTCATTAAATTTATTGAGGTATTTGGTTATCAAAGATAATGAAAATGACAATCAAGTAAGTGGAGTATTTGAAAAGAAACTGTGAGTATATTCAAAAGGCATAAAGAATGTTTCAGCTATTCAGTACCTAAAGCCAATATTTAATATCTTACCCAGCTATAAAGGCCAGGAAGAGTTCCAACAATTATTCTGAAACCTGAAGTTAATTCCCAGGAGCATTTACCACCCCACATCCAGCTTTCCTTTCCCTTTCCATTTCCTATTGTATGTCTGTTTTCTTGCTGAAAGCACTTCGTTCTGTTGGGTAGATAAGTTGCAGGTCCTAAGTCAACTAACCTTGTGGAGCTCAATGTACATATGGGTGTCTTGTTCAGTTTCCTCCACCTCTAGCTCATGAGCTATATAAAATCATCTGATATTTTAATGTTGCCTCATCAGACATGACAAATTGAGGCATTTTCAGCACTAAAACAGAATTTAATAGCACTTTTTAAGTAATGTTTAGGAAGTTGGATTTTTTAAAAATAGCACATCATTAGAAGTATTCAATAAATAGAAAACTATTTGAGGGAGATTTGTCATACAGTAAAATTATATTTGCTTTTTATCTTCTCTTTCTACCCTGTTCTGATAATTGCTTTCCCTATATGTGTCACCTCTATTAGCTAGAACTGCCTGAATCATGTGTTGTTAATTGGTTTTTTTTTTTTTTAGTAATTGATTTTTATATAAAGATGCCAAAGAAAAACTTTTTTTTTAAATTAGGTAAATTGTGATTTGGGATGAAAGTTTATGGGAAAAGTAGCAGTCTCTTTCCTTCCTGACAGATCTACAGTAGATCCAGTGATTTGACCCCCTGTTCATCCCTCTGCAGCTGAAAATAGCTATTTGCCATCATTGACTAGTGCTTACTCTGTGTCAGGTGCTATTTTTTTTTTTTTTTTTTTTAAACATTTTGTTGTGAAAACTTTCAAATGTACAGCAAAGTTGAAAGAATTTTATAGTGGTCATTGGTTTACCCACCACCTAGAGTCTATGATTCTGCTATACTGACTTCATCATGTGTCTATCACTCCACCCTCTATCACTCCATCTGTCTCTCTTGTTTTTTGATGTATTTCAAAGTAAACTGCAGACATCAGCATACTTTCTCCTAAATAGTTCAGCATGTATTTCATTAAATTAAGTATTTGTCTGTAGTTTTTCTTTGAGGTAAAATTTACGTAATGAAATGTTCAAATTTTAAGTGTATATTCACTGAATTTCAACTAATGCATAGATCTATATTACTAAAACCCATATCAATATAGAACATTTCCAACATCACAAGAGGTTCCTCATGCCCCTTCCCAGTTAATTCTGACTTCATTGCGCCACTCACCTCTGTCAGGGACAACCACTATTCTGCCCAAGTGCTACATATCATTTATTCTTCAGAGAGGGTCTCGTTCTCTTGCCCAGGCTGGATTACAGTAGTATAATCATGGCTCACTGCAGCTTTGACCTCCGGGGGCTCAAGAGATCCTCCCACCTCGGTCTCCCAAAGTGCTGGGGTAACTTCCAGGCATGAGTCACCATGGACAGCCAAGAAAAGGACTCTTTATTTTTTACTTTTCATAGATAACGTAGGTGAAAAAAGATCATTAACTTGCACAAGGGCAAACATCTGGAAAGTGGTAGAAATAGCTATGACCCAGGCAGTGGCCAGAACTTTCTAAATCACAAACTAAATCCTGATTCCTGAAGGAGCTTGTGATAAAAATTGAAAAGCTACAATATAAAATTCAGCAGCAGTAGAGGCCCTGAGACTTCAGGAAGGTGGCCTTAGGGTAGGGTATAAGTTTTTATTTTTTTAGTAATCAAGAAAGGCTATACATACTTGAGAGATTATCTGTCTTGCCTGACAAAAACAAAAGGAATCTTGCTGATTAGGATTGATAGATGTGTTAGATATGGAACACAGAGTCATACAAAGGCAGCAGATTGGTCTCTGCCTAGAGAGGGAAGACTTGAGAGCAGTTTAGCATTGTGCAGTGTCTGCTGTACTATCCATAGATGATTCCTCACTTTTGTTTGGCATGTACATTTTCTGGTAAGGAAAAGGATACAGCCAGCCTGTAGGACTGCTTTTTTTTTTTTTTCTCAAAGAGACAGTGTGTCACTGTATTGCCCAGGCTGGAGTACAGTGGCACAGTCACGGCTCACTACAGCCTCAAACTCCCCAGCTTAAACAATCCTCCCACGTCAGCCTCCCAAAGTGCTGGGATTACAGGCACTTCTTTTTTTTCTTTTTTGAGACGGAGTCTCACTCTGTTGCCCAGGCTGGAGTGCAGTGGCACAATCTTTGCTCACTGCAATGTCCACCTCCTGGGTTCAAACGATTCTCCTGCCTCAGCCTCCCGAGTAGGTGGGACTACAGCCAGGCACCACCACACCAGCTGATTTTTGTATTTTTACTAGAGATTGGGTTTCATCATGTTGCCCAGGCTGGTCTCAAACTTTTGACCTCAAGTGATTCTCCCTCCTCAGCCTCCCAAAGTGCTGGCATTACAGGTGTGCGCCACCACGCCCAGCCAACAGGCATCTCTTATTTAATGGTTTTTAACAATTTTTCTAAGGGATCAAATATTCCAAATTATTGCTTTAGAAGTTACCATAAGAATTATACCAGGGAAATTAGCAAAAACCCAGTCTAAGGTGGCAACCTGACATCTTTTAGGCTCTTAAGAGCCTATCTATCTTGGAAACATTTCTCCCAAGTGCAATGACAATAGGTCGTGTGTATAATTGAGAGGCAAATATGTCTACTGTGGTTAATAAAAAATGAATGACAGTTTCTGAGTTTTTGGAAGATTTGGTTAAAGAAAAAACAAAATGGGCCGGGCATGGTGGCTCACGCCTGTAATCCGAGCACTTTGAGAAGCCGAGATGGGCGGATCACGGGGTCAGGAGATCAAGACCATCCTGGCTAACACGGTGAAACCCCTTCTCTACTAAAAATACAAAAAAAAACTCAGCCGGGAGGCTAAAGCAGGAGAATGGCATGAACCGGGAGGTGGAGCTTGCAGTGAACCGAGATCACGCCACCCCACTCCCCCCAGGCGACAGAGCAAGACTCCGTCTCAAAAAAAAAAAAAAAGAAAAAACAAAATGATGGTCTGGTGATGCTGAAATATGGGGCATTTTATTCAAAAGGACTCCTACCAGTACCTATTTTTGAGCACTTAAGTATGCTAAGAGGGTAATTAGATGAAAAGCAGACACACAGAAATATGAACAGGAAGATTTGAGAGAATCACATTCAAATACAAAGACAACAAAGTGATTCATAATTGAATAATAATCCATTTCTTTTCTTGCTATTTTGGGTTACTGTCAACTGACTTACTCTCTTCAGAAGCCATCCCTCCTCACCCTACTATTTCATGCCTCTTGTATCTCCTTGCTCAAGTTTCAGGCACCTTCTCTTACTCTTGAATTTCACATAACTTTTCTTGAATATCATAGTACAAACATGCTCTCATCTTTACTAGTAAAACCAACTTAGTTTTCATACCAAATATTATCTATTTGGTGAGTATCTTTAAATAATTATTAGTTGTTTTGAATTATAATAATTTATTCTAATACATATCTCATAATCATGTTATCCCTTACCTTCTGTCCTATGTACTCATATCCTTTCCCATCCATCTGTTCACTCATCTTTTTTTCTAAAAAGTTTGTAATTAAAATATGTAGAATGAAAGCTGGGACAAGAGAAACAATGAGATGGCAAAGTCCACAGGTAAGTATCAGGAATTTTAAAATTGTTTAATATGTGTGTGTGTGCTTTTCATTTAGGAAAAAAAACTATATGTTGTATAATAAATACACATACGGAAAATTCTATATAATTCATATTTTGGGTGCTCATTTAAGTTTTGGTTTTTTTTTAATACTTTAAGTTCTGGGATACACGTGCAGAACGTGCAGGTTTGTTACATAGGTATACACGTGCCATGGTGGTTTGCTGCACCCATCATCTCGTCATCTATGTTAGGTATTTCTCCTAATGCTATCCCTCCCCTATCCCCCGAGCCCTGACAGGCCCCAGTGTGTGATGTTCCCCACCCTGTGTTCTCATTGTTCAACTCCCACTTATGAGTGAGAACATGTGGTGGTTGATTTTCTGTTCCTGTGTTAGTTTGCTGAGAATGATGGTTTCCAGCTTCATCTATGTCCCTGCAAAGGGCATGAACTCATTCTTTTTTATGGCTGTATAGTATTCCATGGTGTATATGTGCCACATTTTCTTAATCCAGTCTATCATTGATGGGCATTTGGGTTGGTTCCAAGTCTTTGCTATTGTGAATAGTGCTACAGTAAACATACATGTGCATGTGTCTTTATAGTAGAATGATTTATAATCCTTTGGGTATATACCCAGTAATGGGATGGCTGGGTCAAATGGTACTTCTGGTTCTAGATCCTTGAGGAATCGCCACACTGACTTCCACAATGCTTGAACTAGTTTACAATCCCACCAACAGTGTAAAAGCGTTCCTATTTCTCCATATCCTCTCCAGCAGCTGTTGTTTCCTGACTTTTTAATGATCACCATTCTAACTGGTGTGAGATGGTATCTCATTGTGGTTTTGATTTGCATTTCTCTAATGAGCAGTGATAATGAGCTTTTTTTCATGTTTGTTGGCCACATAAATATCTTCTTTTGAGAAGTGTCTGTTCATATCCTTTGCCCACTTTTTGATGGGTTTTTTTTTTCTTATAAATTTGTTTACATTCCTTGTAGATTCTGGATATTAGCCCTTTGATGGATGGATTGCAAAAATTTTCTCCCATTCTGTAGGTTGCCTGTTCACTCTGATGATAGTTTCTTTTGTTGTGCAGAAGTTCTTTAGTTTAATTAGATCCCATTTGTCTGTTTTGGCTTTTTTGCCATTTCTTTTGGTGTTTTAGTCATGAAGTCTTTGCCCATGTCTGTGTCCTGAATAGTATTACCTGGGTTTTCTTCTAGGGTTTTTATGGTTTTAGGTTTTACATTTAAGTCTTTAA